ATTTGGTAAACCACCTATTCGTGAATTTCACTCACTTTTTCAAGTCGTTGCTACCGAATTTCCCGTATTTGCTAGAGCCGTAAAGCCATGGAAAGAAAAGCAAAGCGGATCAGCTACCATAGTAAAAGTCGCTTTCGAATCGAAACGTAGGAATTCCTTCCAGAGGCGGAGTGCTCGAGCCCAGTTGAGTTGGAATCATGGGTGTAGGCGCGATCAAAATCACCGATAAAAGGAAATTTGGAGGCTGTCTGTCAAAGAAGGGCGAGAATAAGTGATTACCATATTCTGTCCTGTTGTGGGTCGTTGTAGAAGTGAGAATTCGCTCATACAACCCCTTCAGACGGGTTACGGGTACTTCGATCGGTCAGTACAGCTTTTTTTCATTGAGATATGAGGGGCTATGAACAAAAATCCACACTCACTCCGAAGACAACGGTAACATTCAGAAATCGTTCTATAACGAAAACATCATCACTACTTATTGAGTGAGAGAATTTGTTTGCTCTATCTGTCCAGATATTTGGTATCACCTGATCAACAGAGCAGTTATATCCCCTCAGAGGAGCTTCGCCCACGGAAAAGGTTAGGGAGGAGTCAACAAATCAGACGAAGGGGACTCATCCACGGTTCTCCAACGTTTTGCATAAACCCATGACCCTCCTTAGCCTATAGCATGGTTCTTGAAGATTGGACCTTGATTCAAAAAATCCATATCTGTTTAATGCGTTCTTCGTTATGTCGCACGTGTTAGTGTGCGAGGCCCAACCCATGAATTCCACATAAGTTCCACATAAGGACTTCAATTTTTTTCGATTTCTGCTTTTACATACTAGGGAAAACTATGACGTGACATTCCGTATCGTTACATATATTAGAACTGTTCATGCAAAACCTGCTAATGGCTTTTGTTACACATAAGTTGGATCACTGGAGGCAAGTAGAGACGCCTCAATCTATAGACACAGCTCTACGTCCAAACATGAAGTAGTATAATTCTATCTCTGAAATGTAGATGTTTTCACAATCAGAGCCTGTGTGAAAATGTACTCAGAGAGATCTATGAGTGCGGCTTATAGCTGCATAGGTTTAAGATCGTGGTGGAAAATTTTGACGATTCTATTTAGGAGAACAGAGGAGTGAAGGTGTTTCCGCTTCTTTACGTAGCTGTGCTGTAAGTGTGACGGATGTGCTCACTGTCCCCAACAGTGTCATCGCAGGTAGGTTTTCCCCAATTTTCCCAGTTTATCCTATTCGATCTGATCGCAACACTAAATAATTTCCATGCTTTTGTTCTGAAACCTGCGGACCGAGCTCTAGTCATCATATGCATTTTACCAGGTTCCTTGTTGGAAGCAGTATATCTTTCTCGAAGTTATTTTCAATAATTTCGACGCGCTGATCTTCTGCAAGTGGGATTGAGTCACAATAGACCACATATTATAGAACCAGTTGGGCTACGCACGCTAATGCGCGCACCACATGCCCACTACCGTATACCTACGACTTGTTAGAGGACTAATATGAACAGGGTTGACTTCCCATTTCATAACTGTTTCCTCACCACGCTCACGTGACATTCACACTTTTCATCGTAATTTTCGGGAGGACGCACAAACGGGCATACAAACAGACGCACAAAATCACCGCTTTAAATATAGGGACACTCGTACCGCCTGGCTCACGCTGGGCTTCTCTCCTTCTTATGATGAAGTTGTGTTGAATGGCAAACA